GGGAGATCAGCTCGGTGCTTTGTGACCACCTAGAGGGGTGGGATAGGGAGGGTGGGAGGGAGTCGCAAGAGGGAGGGGATATGGGGATATATGTATATGTATAGCTGATTTACTTTGTTATACAGCAGAAACTAACACACCACTGTAAAACAATTATACTCCAATAAAGATGTTTTTAAAAATGTGCTTTTTTATGGATAATGGCACCATTCACTGATTATGAAACATTGAAAGGGGAGCAGGTTTTATGCGGAAAGATGTTTGATTTGGCACACACTGAGTTTGAAGCACCTATGACACATCCAAGTGTGCATATATTATGTACTCATCTAATATAGCTAGTTCTGGATTAATTCACAAGTTTGGATTGGATCTTAGTTAAAATGTTAGCACAAGTAAGTGATCAGTGGCAAATTAACTTCTTTTATTCTATGTGTTAGTGAAGAATAATGTTAAATTATTTGTTTACTCTTTATGCTTGCTCAACATTCTTTTCCTTCTCACTCCTTCCATATATTTAAACTTCTAAACAGCCAATTTTTTAAATCATAGAAGTTGAGCAGTATCTAAAGTAAATGGGATATTGAGATGATCAAAGTTAGTCCTCTCTATAGATGAAGAAAGCACAGTATGGTGAGTTAAGTGACTCATCCAAGGTCACAGTACCCAAATAAAAACTAACATTCAGTCTTCTAATTCCTATCAAAAGTCTATTCCATTATATCAGTGATTCCCAAACAGTATTCTGCAGAACATAAACTGTGAGAAGCTCAGTGAACAAAATGATTCAAATGTGTCCTTTTTTTTTTATTGGAGTATAATTGCTTTACAATGGTTAGTTTCTGCTTTATAACAAAGTGAATCAGTTATACATATACATATGTTCCCATATCTCTTCCCTCTTGCGTCTCCCTCCCTCCCACCCTCCCTATCCCACCCCTCCAGGCGGTCACAAAGCACCAAGCTGATCTCCCTGTGCTATGCAGCTGCTTCCCACTAGCTATCTACCTTACGTTTGGTACTGTATATACGTCCATGCCTCTCTCACGCTTTGTCACAGCTTACCCTTCTCCCTCCCCATATCCTCAAGTCCATTCTCTAGTAGGTCTGTGTCTTTATTCCTGTCTTACCCCTAGGTTCTTCATGACATTTTTTTTTTCTTAAATTCCATATATATGTGTTAGCATACGGTATTTGTCTTTCTCTTTCTGACTTACTTCACTCTGTAGGACAGACTCTAGGTCTATCCACCTCATTACAAATAGCTCAATTTCGTTTCTTTCTATGGCTGAGTAATATTCCATTGTATATATGTGCCACATCTTCCGTATCCATTCATCCGATGATGGACACTTAGGTGTCTTTTAACCCTGAATATAATCCCATCTCGTTTAACTTTATTTAACCCCACATTTAATGATAGAACCCCTTTTCCACCAGGTATTAATGTTCGTAGGCAATGCTTTGGGAAATGACACATTGTGTTATACTTGAGTATGACAATGGTGGGTTTAAAAGGAACTTGGTATGCTTGATAGGAAAATTATCCTGCTGAGGTGAGGTTAGGGTCATGCAAAGGAAAGAGTTTCATTTGCTTGATAGATTTACACTGTTATTGGAAGACATAGGGCATATAAATTAAATAGTTTTATTAATAAATGAGTAGGGGATTGTCTTAGCAACCTGCCTAGAACTTATTAATCTTATTGAAGGGCAGGTTTTTTGAAAGACTGATTTCTCCTAAATAAGTGGTAGTGCAAATACACTAAATTAGGAGTCAAGGGCTTCTAGTTAGAGAATTGTTCTTTTCATGATACTTGCTAAGAACCTGGTAATGAAGCTGTTTTGCTTTTAGTTGACAGGGAAATTTGGGGAAAGACAAAAAGATAATTAAGCACAGAGTTAGTGTTTGATGATGAGTAATTAATACTGCTTCTGTGAAGTAGTAAAGATGGCTAAAGAGAATTAATTATTATGGAAATCTAAGCCCAGTTTTATGCAAGTGCCCTGACTTGAATTTGAAAGAAAGAGAAATACCACAAATAAAACTTAATGTGTGAACAGGAAACTCTGTTTTAGGATTAAAGATCTTTTATGCAACCTATGTGCATCTTAATGAGACACATCAATTTAATCAAAACCATAGATGGTCCTAAGGAAAAAGAATAATTGTATGCTGAAGTATGGAGTAAGATAAATACTCCGAAGGAAATTTACATAATTTTCAAGTCATTGTAAAAAAAGAAAAAGGCTTTATTGTCCTGTACCAGAAATATATGCAACAAATTTGACTGTTTGCAATTTTTATTTTTCTAGGTAATTACTGAATAAGAACATTTTAAATGACGATTAATTTGCATTTTTACTCTAATTTAAGCAAGTTCACGATTTAAATGCAGTAAGTAATGAATAATTAAGGAACATAAATAATTTAACATTAATCAAATATTCCTACTTAAAAATATGTCCTGCTAATTAAAAAATGTAGAACACTGCAAATAAAGACTACAATCTAAAGGTGGAAAGAACATACATATCAATGTCTACCCAAGATTTTGCCAGCTTCCCCATAGCCCGAAACTAAGAAAAATCACAGATCAAGAAATAATTCATTTTCAAAAATATTTTGAAAGTATAGCTTTTTCTTTCTATCTATGGACAGTTAGTCAAATCTATAACTACTATCTGTATATTAATGGAAGGAAACCAAATGTGGCAAACACCTCAACTTAAGAGTTCTGCCACTTACAGGATCTATGAACATTGACCCTTCTCTGTCTTTCAGGAAGTGAAATAATTACGCAAATTGTAAATCACCCATGCAAATATTAGATATTTAATTGGACCAGTCAATGGTACTTCCCCTGGTTCCCTCACTTACTGAAAGATAGTGAATTCTTAAGTTCCAATAAAGACAAGTTTCATTCTGTCATCTAACAGGTACTGAGACCCAGGTATATTCAAGGCTCTGTATTAGGTGCCATGAATAAGACAGCTCCTTGGCTTCCATAAACGTATACCGCATGAGAAGAGTAAATAATTCTTTGCAAATATAAGCAAGTTATAGATAAGGTAGTATGAAATTTCAGAAGCTACAATTTTTCCTTTAGGTTTTAATAACTGGAGAAAGCTTTACTACAAAGTGCCACTTATACTACGTCCTGAAGAATGGGTAAGATTTGGTTTGAAAAAATAGTAAGATAAAGGATATTCCGAAGGGAATAACAATTAGGAGGAAGGCTATGGGTGTGGTTCAGGCACTTTGAACAGTTCCTTTTAACTACAGCAAGGGTTGCCTAAGTCGGAAATAAAGTATAAATTAGCACACCCTCTTGCTACCTGAAAGAAACCCATCAGAGTTTGCCTTTTCGTTGTAAATTCAAAGCTCAGCCAGAATAAATTCCCTTCTTTTGAAGCAGCACAGATAGAAGTTTTCACCCAAACTAAATTTAACTGAATGCTTGTCAATGACTTATAACCTGGTCTTTAGCCCACACACCCTACAGTCTAGAAAACAGTAGATGAAATTGCACTACCATTTACAAACAGGCCGCTTTGAATCTGTTTTCCTCTAAGTAGCTTTGTAATTCTGCGTTAGACACCTGGGAGAGGCATTTCCAGTGCCCATTACGCGACATTTTTCGGTTCTGTTAATAGTTGGTTTGACTTTACATGACTGATCAAGAGGCTGACAGCCTTCAATTTATCGGCGGCTCCTCGACACAGACACAGATGTTTCCTCCTGGAGATTCAACCATCATCTCAAAGCTCTGGTTTGGCAGAATTAATATTACACATTTTAAGGTATAGGCCATGTTCCTGGGCCCTAGGGCTTGGGCCTCAGACACCCCAGCTAAGGCCAAAGCAGCGCGGACAGGAAGGGGGTACTCCAGGTGTAGGAATGTGCCAGCGCCCACGGGACGCGACGCTTCTCCCAACACAAAAGACGCCACCGCACCATCGGCCCCTGGGACTGAGCTCAGAAACCGCCAGGTGCTCGCCAAGCCGCCCTCGGATCTTCCCAACACCGCCCCCCCACTTCCGCTTCCGGGGAGGCGCCGCCTGGCCCTCCGGCCTTGGGGGCGGTAGTGAAAGAGAAGCCGGAAGTGGCCCTAGTACTTCCGGTGCGGGAAACTCCTCGCTGCGGCTCCGAGCGGGCTTGACAGGCTCGGTCCCTGCAAGTAGGTCTCTCTCCTGTTGCCTTCCTTGCGTCTAACCTTCCAGCTCGTTTGCCGCTGCCGTCCCGCCACGCCGGTCTCCGAAGCCGCCCCTTCCCCATGTGCCGGGGCAGGAGTCCGGAAAGCCAAGACCCGCTCGCCGGTACCCCATCATGTCCGAACTGACTAAAGAGCTGATGGAGCTGGTGTGGGGCGCCAAGAGCAGCCCCGGTCTCTCTGACACCATCTTCTGCCGCTGGACGCAAGGTACCCTGGCTGGACTCTGGCTTCCGGCCGCCGCTTCCTTTAGCCCCGCGAGAGTCGAGCCGTGACGCCTCTCGCGCCACCCCGCTCGCGTGCCCCGCACTCCGTCCCGGTTCCCCTGCTCAGCCCAGAAACGGGACTTCTAGAAAAGCCCTCCCTGTCTTGAGGGTTAGAGGCTAAGTAGGTGAACGGTGCCAGCGGGCCGCCAAAGACCCGAGGCGCCCCTGCCACTCCCTGGGCTGCCTTTGGGTTGGAGAGGAGGAGGGGGTGGCTGCCGGGCTGCAGCGGGTGACACTGAAGGTGTGCCCTGTGCCCCGGCGTCCGTTCCTCCAGCAGGGCTCCGGCCGCCTGGATCTTTACCCACTAACGAGTCTGGTCGTTTGGTCTCATTTTGGAGAGAGGGAAGTCCACGTGAAAGTCGCAGTGGTTAATTCCAGAAAGCGATTGTGTTGCTTGTATTTCAGTTAGGCGGGGTTAGGCGTGGTACTCGGTGCAGAAATGTAATGTTGCGGCTGCAGAGTGTTTGTTCCCTTGACCCGAAGTGTCCCCGGTTTTGAGGTGGTGTGGTATCTGTTCCAGTTCAAAGGAATATGGCCCATAGGACTTCCTGGGCCGATCTAATTACCCAGACAGGCTTTTGAGTTATATAAGAAGTTTTGTTAATACTGCGAGTAATTGTGAAATGAAAAAACACCATCTATTTATATTTATTAGTGATGATCCCTAACTCGTAAGTTTCAGTATTAAAACACAACGAGCATATTACTTCAGGTGACTTAAAAGGGACAATGGTGAGGTTGAGGTTAAGAGCATAGTGTTTGGAGTCAGGAGGATGAGTAATGGACGTATGTAAAACATCCCAAGCACACAAATAATAGCTAGTTAGTACTGTTACTGAAACATTTTGTTATTAAAATATTTATTTAGAAAATACCGATTCTCAGAGGGTTTGGGGGAAGTTTAGCATAGTAAATCTAAGTCCTTCGTAATGTGTATTTAGTAACAAAAGTTCAGGGTTTAAGTAATCCCTTCCTTCCTCCCAGATACTGGTAAGAGCTGGTAAAATTAGAATCGTAATATATTACAGCCAGGTAGGTTATTTAGTCCATTACTCTTGTTCTGAAGATGAGAAAAATGAGTTATGAAGGGTTAAATGACCAGGCCAAAGTTGCACAAATTGATAGAACTGGGAACGAATTCCAACTCTCCCATTTCCTAATTCAGCCGTCTTTGTTGTTTTCCTTTGTGTGGCTCAACCAGGCATGTAATTAGTTTGGCTTTTTTTTTTTTTTTACAGATTTAATTATGTCGCTTAACTAATATTTTCTGAAATGTTGGACATCCACATTTGCAGATTTTAAAATTTATTTTCCAGTTTGTCTTATTTATCCTAATAGTGAACAGCCCTAAAGTACGCAAGACTGTGAAGGATTGAGAAGCTTTCCTTCCTGTTAATTAATTAGTAATACAACACAGAATAAGGTGATATTCAGCCTCATTTATTTTAGTACTGTGATGCAGAGGCAAGGAGAATTCAGAGAGGCAGTTCTAATAATGGTTAAGAACAGGCTTTGGAATAGGCATACTTGGGTTCTAGGTTCAAGGTTTTTAGCTTACTTAAGCCTCAGTTTCCTTCTCTGTAGAGTGCAGATAATAGTAGTGCCAATCTTACAGGGTTGTTGTGAGGATTAAAGGCAGGTGAATTCGTTTAGGCGCTTAGCACAATATCTGACATGGAGTAAATGCTCAGAAAGGGGTAGCTTGATTTAAAAAGTGTTTAATTGTAAACCAAGCCGAAGTTTGCTCTCTGGCCATGCCCTGGCAGTTGCAAGAAGTTATTGTTAATTTGATGGATAATCACTAAAGGAGAACTTCGTAATGACATATGAGAATGCTCTGCCACCTTGTAGTCATACAGAAGTTCCTTTACAAGATTTGTTCAATCAATACCATTTCAAAATAAAGGATTATTTATTGCTCTACAGAGAGTGCGGTTGTATTGTGGCTACGTAATTCTTCAAGGTCTTAAACTGATCATGATTTTTAAGGCAACCAAATATGTACTTTTAAGTTGTCACCTCTGACTCAGAGGGATGTTGTCATCGATCTTGCTGTGTTAACTTTGTATTCATTTATCCATTCTTAGAGGAGGCAGAGACCATTGCTGACGATTGCTGTGGCCGTGACTTGGGATTGTGGGAACGGGCACAGGACACTGCTTTGCTGCGCTTGCCTTCCTGTGTTCGTACTGTGACATCAGCTTTGGCTTTATTTCATCATCTATCTGTGCTTTGAATTGACAGCTGTAATCTCATTAGTCTTTTGGAAGCAAGTTATAGGTGTGAGGTGTTTGGGGTAAAGAGACAGAACTATGTCCAGGGATATTCCGTTTATTGATTGGTCATGTTAAATGGTCATGTTAATTGGTCGTGTTAAATTCCTTTGATATGTTAAACAGCCGCAGCAGTTGGGTTTTTTGTTTGTTTTTCTCTCTCTTTTAATTGCTACGGCAGTTTTAGATAATATGTTAAAGCAGTAAGTGCAAGAGTGGCATATAATATTTTTTTGTTCGTTTAAAATTGATTTGACAGTTTTAGATAATTCTCTTCTGCAAATACTTTTTCTTAAGAGAAGAAAAAAATAGGGTTTTGGTTTGGTTTTTTGTGTTTTTTTTTTAACAGTTTTTAGTTTAAAGGCAATAAGTCACATTATTTAAAGCTTTGAAGTTGTTTTGTTTTTTAACTTGGAAATTTACTCCCTACTCCTGCCTGCTTCCCTCCTGCTCAATTGCCTATAATACTTTTTAAAGAAAAGCGTATATTTTCTACCTCCTTATTTGTAAGCACATTTATCCTTCTTTCCCTTCTCCCACAAACTGACCAGTGTTCCAGACCTAGACTTGATAGGGTGGGAGGGAAGACAAATGATAGACATAATATAGCATAAGTTAAGCATATATACTAGAAGGTAGAGAAATAAGGAATTACAGGGTGAAGTAGCCTGGACGGGCCTCATTTTAAGGTGAGATTTGAGCAGACTATTGAAGTAACTGAGTTAGTCATGCAGGTATCTGAAGAGTGTTCCAGGCAGTGAGGATGGCCATCGTAAAAGACTTAATGACTTATGCAGAATACGTCTGGCTTTTTGTTCAAGGAACAGGAAGGAGGTTAGTTTGGCTGGAGAGGGAATGAGGGAACGGGACAGTGATAAAGATGGTGTAAGAAATAATATGGCCCAAATCACTAAGATTTTATAGGCCGTTGTAAGAACTTTGGTTTTTCTTCTAAATGAGATGAGAGGTCATTGGAAGGTTTGGAGCAGAGGACAGACATGACAGGACAGGTTTTTAAAGGGCTGATCTGACTGCTAAGTTTGAGGATAGACAGTAGTGTATTGAGTGAGACAGCAAGACCAAATGAGAGACAGTTGCAGTAATCCGAGGGTAAAAGACCATGGCTTAGACCAGGATAGTAGGAAGTGGTCACATTGACCTCATCCCAGCAGAAGCAAAATAAGAGTCATCTAGATCTAACAAAAGTAAGTGTTAATCTTATTACAAAGGCAAACATTTTGACTTATTGAGAATTTGTTTTCTTTTCAGTACTGATTGTCTAGCCAGTGTTTGGCAAATGTTTTCTTTAAAGGGCCAGTGCCTCTATTGTCTCTGTCTCATCTCTGCCATTGCAGCAAAAGCAGCCCTGGATAATAAGGGCATGGCTGTGTTCCAAAACTGCATTTAAAAAACAGGCCAACCCTGGTCTAAATTATAAACTCTGAGAACCCATTTTTTCCTTTTCTTGGCCCCCTTCCTTCAAGTTTTAAGTTACTTCGTTGTTTCACCTAAAGATTAGCTAGAAGAGAAACCCAATTTGTCAGTTTACAGCAGTTCAGTGGTGTTTTGGGGTGGAGATGGGGAGGGAGCTGTAGTGGATTGAAATTAGACTTTTGGACTTTCCAGTATAGGACAATTTTTGTTATGTAATATGAAAAAAAAAAGATTCTAAGTAACTTTGGAAAAGTGAGGGATCAGTTAAAATATAAGCATAAATTGTATGCAGGAGTTAAAGCGTTTGGATTAAAGTCCAAAAGTATGATGTCTATTATAATGTGATTTAACATTTTACCAAAGTACTAAAATGATATGCCAGTATCGTTAATTTGTCTTCCAGAGTGAAGGTAAATTAATATTGTGGGTCATATCATTTCAGAGATTTTGTTGTTGATGGAATCCTTTTATTTCAAATATAGGTTTTACTTTCTCCCACCTACCTACATCATATGTCACCTAAAAACCAATTTTTTTAAACTCACAATTTGGAAGCTTATGTGACAAAGTTAATTTCTTGGTACTTTTGAGTACATAATGTGTTTTTCAGCTCAACGCATCTATCATAATACCTTACATCTGTATTAGGCTTTACAGGTTTTGAAAATCTTACTTACAGCAACCCCAAGAGGTAGCAAAGGATAAATGTATCAATAGTTATCCTCCTTTTGTAGATGAGGAAACTAAGGCTCAGTTCAGATTCCACTCAACCAGTATTATCTGACATATAATGACAAATGAAGTCTTTCTGTGGCCTTTTGTTAACATGGAAGGCTAGAACTATAGAGGCAGTAGTTGTCAAACTGGTTTGAATAATGTAAGTCAGTCATATGAAAATAAAAGACTGGGAAATTGCAAAGAGGTTCATGACTCAGGTTTAAATTAGTTATGAGCTGTAGAACTGAGAAAGACTTCTGTGTCTGTGGTGCTGTGGAATGTGATACAAAATCGTATATTTAAGTTTAGATGGCCTATTTCAGATCTAATTAGGAAAACAGCCATTTTGTGATAAGTTAATTCCTCTTAAAACTAGGAAATAAGATGCATATGAGAACACTTGACAAGAAAAATAACTACCCTAAACAATTCAAGCTCAAGTGAAACCTTATTGTAAAAGGGGGTGCCTACTTAGCGTTATCCTGTTTTAGGATAGAATAATTTCCATTTGCCTAACTTT